TAGAAAATACAGACTGTGAGGAAAGAGTTAACACAGCAGGTCTGGTTGCTCTTTACCAATCTCCGAGGGACCCATGATTAACCCTTGGCAGCCCTTAGAGTGTCCTTTACATTAGTGGTTGATGGGTTTGTTACATACGCCTAGACCAATGGACCATACCACATGTACTCCTCAGGTTGCTTCGCACAAACTTCAAGATCAACAACCTGCACCTAGGTTCATTGCTGGGGTTGAGTTTGGTTGCCATAGTTGGTTGCATACACAGCAGGATCTACCTATGTGACCCCATAAGAGCCCCCTATAAAAGCCTTGATCTCTGAGAGAAATAGGCTTCCCCGGGGCAGACATTCTACACATGTCCTCAGAGTTAATGGTGAGAGAAAGAGTATTCCTATATGGCCTCAGAAAAGGAGTATTTGGACCAGGAAAGACACTGGAAGTCTGTGTTGAATGTCTATGGACCCCACACATGCGTATTGTTTTCCTGCTACTTTTGCTCTGTATCCTTTGCTAAAATAAATCTCAGCGAGTATATAACCTGCTATTGAATCCTGTGGGTCCTTCTGGTGAATCACTGAATAACACACAGACAAATATATATATATATATATATATATATATATATATATATATATATGATATATATATATAAATATATGACAATATATATAAATTAACCAAATCCTTATACCTGGAGATAACACTTTTGCTAACTTTAAAAACAAGGTTTCGACCAACCAAATCATCTCACAGAAGTCCTTCTAAATTGTGAGAAAGCAAACAAAACTGCTAATTAAATTGGTAAATTGGGGGTGCCTGGATGGCTTAGTCAGTTAAATGACTGCCTTTTCAGGTCATGATCCTGGGGTCCTGGGATCGAGCTCCGTATCAGGCTCTCTGCTCAGTGGGGAGCCTGCTTCCCCCTCTATCTCTGCCCTTCCTCCTGCTCATGCTCTCTCTCTCTCTCTCACTCATTTGCTCACTCTCTGTGTCTCAAATAAATACAATCTTTTAAAAAAGTACTTAAAAACAATAAATTGGTAAATTGTATCATGGAGTGAAGACTGAATTTTATGGAAGCCCCAGGTTTGGACTTAGAATAAGTGTACTTTTTTTTTTTTAAAGATTTTATTTATTTATTTGACACGTAGAGAGAAATCACAAGTAGGCAGATAGGCAGGCGGGGGGAGGAGGGCGGGAAGCAGGCTCTCTGCTGAGCAGAGAGCCCGATGTGGGACTCCATCCCAGGACCCTGGAATCATGACCTGAGCCGAAGGCAAAAGCTTAACCCACTGAGCCACCCATGTGCCCAAGTGTACCGTTTTAAATGATTATCAAGATTCACTGAACTTTGCTTTTGTGACATAAAAATGGTTTCATATATGAATTCGTCCTTAATTTGGAATCCAACTTTTAATCTTTTTTAAAAACACTGTTGTTGTTTTTTCAAAGATTTTATTTATTTATTTGACAGAGAGAGAGATCACAAGTATGCAGAGAGGCAGGCTGAGAGAGAGGGGGAAGCAGGCTCCATGCCGAGAGCCCAATGTGGGGCTCCATCCCAGGACCCTGAGATTGTGACCTGAACCAAAGGCAGAGGCTTAACTCACTGAGCCATCCAGGCACTCCCCAACTTTTAATCTTAATTGGGTTCCTATGGGAAGAGATAGGACACCTTATAAGAAATGGCTTTATAATATCATCCAGGAATAGGCAGTGAAAAGCAGAGACTACCTGTGCATGGGGGTCTGGGGGAACCAAGGGTGGGGAAGTGAATGAAACTAGCTGCCCTTCCATGTACCCCTCATCCTATAAGTCACCCTTCTTTGACAGGTTCCTTCTATGACCTTAATAATAATAATTAAAAGTAATTACTAACATTTATTTAGTACTTACTGTGAGCCAATCACTATTCTAAGCACGTGTTTTCTCTTAATCTTCACAACGGCCTATCCAATAAGTTATTATTTCCTCCTTTATACAAATGAAGATACCAACGGTAAGTATAATTAAGGAGCTAGTTTATGAAACTAGTAAATGAGATGGTACTGGGACTTGACCCTGAACTCAGAAGGTCAACTGCTATACTTCATGTCCTCTTATATTTGCACAAACAAGATGTCAGTGATAAAAATGGGTTTTGGAGTTAGATTTTGCATTAGGTTTTCCAGGGAAAAACAAAACCAACAGGATACACACACACAGATTTATTTTAAGGAATTGGCTCACACGATTGTGGGGGCTGACAAGTCTGGAATTTGCAGAACAGGCTGGCAAGCTAGAAATTCAGGGAAGAGTTGATATTGCAGTCTTGTATTCAAAATCTGAAGGCTGGGAACTCAGCCAGGTTTCTATTTTGCAGTCTTGAAGCAGAATTTTTTTTTTTTTTTTCTTCAGGAAACCTCAGATTTTGCTTGTAAGGATAACCACCCTCATTATGAAAGGTAGACTAGTTTACCGATTTAAATGTTAATCACACATTCAATGTAACCATCACAATTTTGATTTTTCTCTTTTGAAGAAGAAAGGGAAGGTGGATCCCCAAATGTGATTTGCTCAAGACTGACCCCAGGATGAGCCAGCTCCCTCCCAAGCACCAGACCCACGAGTTGGCAATTCCCTTAGCTACAGCCATGCAAGTGTGACATTGGCCAGAAGAGGGCACTGCCTTCTACTTGTGTAACCATTTGCAAGGGAACCAGTAGGTCCCTGATGTAGCTTACTTAGCAGTCTTTGGTAGAATGAATACCTGTGAGCTTTTAGTTGTACTGTGAGACCAAAGAACCTCATTGACAATACTCACACTTTACGTTCAGTAATGCAGGAAGACATGGAAAGATTTTGTCCTTTGGCTTTCCTGGTGCATTATAACCGATTCCAGTCAGGGAGAGCCAAACCAGATTTTCCCAGAATAGGCCAACTCAGGCTGATGCAGGGGGAAGGAAAAAGCTGGGGCATTTGGCGCCTGAGAGAAAGACGGCAGGGTTGGGGGGGTGGGGGGTGAGGGGTGGGGAGGACCCCTGGGGCTCCAGGCCCTTGAAGAATCTTCTAGCAAGAAACAGAGGCTGGGTTTGGGAAGCTACTTCCTGTGTCTGGGTTTGAGAGAATAAAACACAGACCCCTTTGGAAATACAGCTCTGTCCAGATGAGCAGTTAATCTAATCTCTGGATTCTGAATGGGGAATGGAAATCCACATAAGTATAGTTATTCTTTAGTTCTCATTAATAATTAAAAATTTTCCGGGCGCCTGGGTGGCTCAGTGGGTTAAGCTGCTGCCTTCGGCTCAGGTCATGATCTCAGGGTCCTGGGATCGAGTCCCGCATCGGGCTCTCTGCTCAGCAAGGAGCCTGCTTCCCTCTCTCTCTCTCTCTCTGCCTGCCTCTCCATCTACTTGTGATCTCTCTGTCAAATAAATAAATAAAATCTTTAAAAAATAATAATAATAATTAAAAATTTCCCTTCCCTGCTTCCATTTTAATGACCGCTTCCATTTGTGCAGCTTGAAATTTTGCAGAGAGCTTTTCCAGCCCACAGCAAATACTAGAGCAGGTTCTATAATTACTTCCTATTTACAGCTGAGGAAACACAGAGGGTAAAGGCTTTGCTCTGGCTCCTCCATGGTCCCAGCCTGTGAGGAGACCAAGAACCTGGCGCCTGATCTTAGCTGCGTGCTTTGTCCCCTATCAGAAATACATTCCGAACTCTCACCTACTGCTATTTCCGGGGGCCATGACAGCTGAACGCCCACACATGCTGTGAGCCAGGATTCCACCTGCAGGACCGTGTGCAACCAAAATGCATGCACACGGACACCAACAGAAGGTGCAAAACTACTCCTACCAGCATAGTTCGAAGCTGCCGAAGCAGAAGACAACCCCAAGTCCCATCAACATAGAATGGATAAAAAACTGTGGCATATTAGTGAAATAAGTCAATCAGAGAAAGACAATTATCATATGATCTCCCTGATATGAGGAAGTGGAGAGGCAACATGGGGGGTTTTGGGGGGTAGGAAAAGAACAAATGAAACAAGATGGGACTGGGAGGGAGACAAACCCTAAGAGACTCTTAATCTCACAAAACAAACAGGGTTGCTGGGGAGAGGTGGGTAGGGAGAGGGGGGTGGGGTTATGGACATTGGTGGGGGGTATGGGCTATGGTGAGTGCTGTGGAGTGTGTAAGCCGGATGATTCACAGACCTGTACCCCTGGGGCTAATAATACATTATATGTTAATAAAAATAAAATAAAAAATAAAACCGTGGCATATCTCTATCATGGAATACCATATAGTAAAGAGAATAAGTAATAAGTAATAGTAATAAGAACAAGATCTACACAAAACGTGAGTAAATTTCACAAGTGTATATAAAGGTCAAAACCAGGCAAAAACATAAAGTGTTGAAAGTCAGGTTAGTAGCTGTACCTCAAAGGACTAGTTACTGGAAGGTCGGGGGACAGGGGTCCTCTAGGGGCCTCTAACATTCTACTTTTCGACCTACATCATGGTTACCAGGGTAACATAGGTGTGTTCACTTGGCGCAAAAAATTCACCAGGCTGGGCATCTACAGTGCATGCACTTTTCTGTATCTGTTACACTTCAAGAAAAACACATTTCAAGTCTGTATGTGTCTACGTAGATCACTTTTCCATGAGCCAACTTTAGTACTGCCCCAATGTAGCCTATCCCTGATTGCAGATTTGTTTGTTGCTCTAACCGCGACCACGTCACCATTTCCCAGAGGGTTTCCGAAGTCCTGTGAGAGCAGGTGAACAGCTGCCTCTGCGCTTGCGCGCGCAAGAGTGCACCTTGAGAGAGACTTCTCTCCTTCTTCAGGAGAGGAGCTTGTCCCTGGCCTCCAACACTACGAACGTGTGTTCTTTCCGCGTGTCCAGAAAGGAAGGAAGAAGGAAACATCCAAGCAGGATAAGCCAAACACAGAAAACATCTCATCCGAATGAAAAAGCGCCCTTGTCTGCCCCTTTTCTTAATTTTATTTTTTTTATGGAACGCTTCACAAATGCGTATGTCATCCTTGCGCAGGGGACACACTAATCTCTGCACCGTTCCAGTTTTTTAAGTACACGTGTGGCCAAAACAAGCATGCCTGTCCCATTTTTTAACACTGGCGCTATTTTTCAGGAAAAACAAGAAACCTAACCCCTGTATCCCAGAGGTGCAGATGGCACCTCTAAACAAGAGGGCACGGGGCAGCAAAACAGAGCTGCTCAAAATCCCATGGCAGGCCCTGGTGGGGCCATAAATGGAAACAGATTTCCTGTTTCACAGGGCACTGTCTGCTTCTCATTAGCCCTCACTGCTTCCTGCAGGACGATGTTGCTTGAAAATCTTAAAGGACAAGAGTACAACAACATATTAGATCAAGGGTTGGCAATGTCTGTCCATGAGCCAAGGACATTTGGTTCAGGGTTACACACACACACACACGCCATACTTCCTCACTCCTTCTGCTGCTTCGGAGAGCTTCTACCACCACTGTAGCTCTTGGATCTTCTACCTCAGTGATTCACTGCTGTTTCAGTCCCACACTCTATCCCAGAGGCAAAAGACTGAGAATCTTGAAAAACATTCTAAGAGCACCTGGGTGGCTCAGTCATTAAACGTCGGCCTTTGGTTCAGGTCACGATCCAGATCCTGGGATTGAGCCCCACATTGGGCTGTCTGATCAGGGGGGAGCCTGCTTCTCCCTCTTCCTCTGCATGCCACTCCCCCTGCTTGTGCTCACACTCTCTCTCTTTCTGTCAAATAAGGAAAGGAAGGGAGGGAGGGAGGGGGAAAAAGAAAGAAAACCATTCTGATAGATAACCACATTCATACTTTCTCCAACCAGATTGTGTTTGAAGGAGCTGGCCCTCTTTCTTTCTTCCCAGTGGCTTGGAGGGACACTAGCTATACTTTTTGTACCCTTCCACGATATGGTAGGGTTATCAGAATTCTGGTGGCTGGTCCAGAGGCATGCTGCGAACATACCCACAGAATAACAGGGCAAGAGCAGAAGCCGGGACCGAACCAGGGTGGTATTCTTCCAGGGTCTCAATGGGTCCTGGAGGTAGCAGAGATACTCAGGGTGTGCATCCTTGGAGCCCAACACCAGCACTTTTCTGGCTGTGACGATACTCAAAACTACGTAGATGACACAAAGACATATATACAAAGGAGCTAATTGCGGCATAGTTGTTATAGAGAAAAATGAAAGGCAACTGAAGCAACCAGCAACAAAACGTGTTCAATCATATGATAGCAGCATATACCATGGAGTATCATGCAGCCATGGAAAAGGAGGCTGAGGTATATTAACTAACAGAAGGTGGTCAACACTTTAAAGTTAAATGATAAAGGCAGGTTGGGGGAAACTATATAACTCCATTTATATATTTTAAAAATCCTGTGTGCATCCACAAAGACTCACACCTGCTACAAAACGACCTAGAGAGAGAGACACCAAACTATTCTCAGATTACCTCTGGGGAAGAGAATGGAAATTGGGACGTAAGGGAGAACTTTCCAATTTAGCCATATTCATTTCTGTAATACTGTTTATGAATAAAATAGCCCTTTGTATTTAGAAAACCAACTGGAGCATCTGGGTGGCTCAGCCAATTAAGTGTCTGATTCCTGATTTTGGCTCAGCTAATTATCTCAGGGCTGTGAGATCGAGTTCCGAGTCAGGCTCTGTGCTGGGCATGGAGGCTGCTTAAGATTCTCTCTCTTCCTCTGTCCCACCCCTCACCACGCTCTCCCATTCTCTCTCTCAGTTAATTATTTAATTAATTAGTTAATTTTAAAAATAAAAAAGCAATTTGAAAAACCAAGACTGTGGGGAAACTGGAGGAGGCACATTTGATAGGGGTGGTCAGCACAGACAGAGGCTTCTGTGACTCAGGCCCAAGGGCAGGGAAGTAGATTCTCTGAGAGCTTGGGGAGAGGCTCCTCTTTCCCAAGGGTGCAGAACAGTTCCTTTTTTTGTCCTGTTCTCCCTCTTTGGGATCACATGCTCTTGGTTGCCATTGGGTCACTGCCAACCCTAAGCAGCCAGAGGAGTCAGGCCCCTCCCTAGGAAGAGCCAGGGAAGATGACTTGAGCCTACTGGGCCCAAGGCCTTGGAAAGGAACCTCCTCTTTACCTTGGTGCCCATTTCCTGGGTTTTCGTATCAGAGGATCTCCAGACGCTGAGGAAAAGGGGCCACAGCACTTGGTAACTTTCAGTCTGGCCTGCTATCCCTCTCCACCCAGTCTCCACCTTAGGGTTGCCTAGGGAGCTATGAAAAAATATAAGCCTCAAGTATAGATATATACATTGGAATAGAAAATAAATGTTTTGTTGTGTTAGCAAATGACCAATGTTGGGTAAAATAGAAATTTTCATCCATTTTGGAAGGAGTGCTAAATTGGTTAAGAGCCTTTTGAAGAGCAGTTAGACAATATTAAGAGTCTAAAATACTTTCCTATTATTGTGTCTAGTAAGAAAACTTCTGGAAATTTCTCCAGGTGAAAGAGCAAAATGGCTCAAATAAGGAAAATTCCTGTGAAGAATGCTCTCATTATGTCTCCTTTTGTAATAGCTAAAAATCAGAAACAAACTAAATGTTCAACAAAGGGCAGATGAATGGTTAAATAGGTGTACTCCTTGGGACACTTTGTAGCAGTTGAAATTGTAATGAAAATTTGTAATAATAGGTTAAAATGTACTAATGATGAATTTGTAACATTTCTTTGGACAAAAGTACTTGCGTACCTACACAAAAGTTCATTCCAGAAGAAAGAATAGACACGTCCAAGCCTCATCCTAGTCTAATTAAATCAGAAGATCACGGAAGAACTGCACGTGAAAATGTGTTTGTTTACCCAGATGATTTTTTTTTTTAAGATTTCATTTGTTTATTTGACAGACAGAGGTCACAAGTAGGCAGAGAGGCACGCAGAGAGAGAGGAGGAAGCAGGCTCCCTGCTGAGCAGAGAGGCCGACGAGGGGCTCAATCCCAGGACTCTGGGATCATGACCTGAGCCGAAGGCAGAGGCTTTACCCCACTGAGCCACCCAGGTGCCCCTCCCCAGACGATTCTAATTAAAGTCAAGGTTGAGAGAGCACCATTGGCCTTGGGTCCAAATGAGACTTCCTGGTTGAGGTGCGGCCCAGTCCAGCTCATCTGGATGGTACTAAATGGCTTGTGTTTTCCTGGCCTTGTCCCTGACTAGAGACACCAGTGGGCCAGGTAGTAACCCCAGTAGGAGGCTAATCATAAATTTGAGATCATGGCCAAATAGCTCTACATCTTACCACAACTGGCGGCATGTAGGCTCATTAAGATGGTTAAAATAGCCTAGGTAAGAGGCAAGCAAGGGCTTGAACTGGGTCAGGACAGCAGTGGGAGGTGGAGGAGAGGTGCGTTGTACACAGCTGGGCACCTGAGCAAATAGGGCAGGCTCAAGAGTGGAAACCAAACTCCAGAACATACGTGGCCTGTCAACCAGGCCTCCAGGGCCCCAGGTTGCGGGCCTGTTGCTGTCAACCTCTACCGTCCTGCTGGCAGCAATAAAAGCTTAGAAGGTTTGCTTCCAGGAGATTTGGTGTCTACCAGGCTCCTTAGAAGAAGGTGCTACAGCCCATTTGCTGCGGGGCCAGAGTAAACAAATGAAAGTCAAATGGGAGAGAGCAGGTCGGGAAACCAGGCAGCCACACAGTGCATCAGCAGAATATAATGATCCTGTTATGGCCTGACATTCGAGACCCTCCGGGGAAGAGTAACATGGTGATGTGGCATGACCGAAGAGTCCCCTGCTCATAAAGGTCCTCCTCTAGCTCTCTGGTGCCTGTGATTCCACTGTCAGGGGAGTGCCACTTGGGTTATTAAGCATGGCCCATTCATGGCTGCCCTCTTCTAAAACACAGACTCCTGAATGGAATAACACTTCGCTCCAACAACCATGTAGTGCAATCAGTTCATAATTTACTCCGTCAATCTGAGTACCTACTTTGTGCTTGGAATCGCTGTAGGAACTGGGATACTAGGGAGGGATGACCTCATAAAAGTGACTAAGAAGACTCAGTTTAATTCAAAAGTATCTACTAAACATGACACATGTGTTTAGTAGACATGACAAGGAGTTGTCACATGACAAGGAGTTGGCGCTGAGATGGGACGGAAACGGAAAAATGCACAACCTTGTCACCTCCCTCAAGGAGCCCTTACTTACCCTTGTGGGGGCGGAAGGGGGGGTTAGGAGGGGGTTTGTAAGGGGGGGCCACACGGGGATCCAAGCACACAAAAGGCAGAACAAGCAACTGCTTATTAAACCACTGATATAATCAAGAGCCAACATGAAGAGTGCAGCAAAGAGCCTTCGTGTCAAAGAGTCTTTTCAGAAGCTTTCATGACTGAACCACACTACCTCTTTTCATTAGGGAGCCTAGAAAAGAAGCTATTATAACCCCACTGTTTTCTAAATATCAGCATGGGTGTGATTTCCTGGTTCTGAGACCTCACCTTAATTTCTACCCTCTATACCCTATAGGTCTGGCTAGGCTGGGCACTACTGAAAGGGAGTTATTCATTAAGCATTGACAGGATGCATAGGGACCCACCCACCTTCTCTGCCTGTGCCCCACCCCCTCTGGCCATTTGGCACATCTTGGTGGTGGACTGAGTGATTTCACATGTACTAAACTCCCACAAGATACATGGTTTCTGTTTACCATAGTCATGCTCACAAGGTACCCTTGTGAGAAAAGCCTCACTAGCTTCTAGCTCTCACTGTCACAGGGAACAGAGGATTGTGACAGACACCCAAGTGGGGTACGGAAGCAAGATTTGGAAACAGAAGAACAGTCGGTTAAGCATCTGACTCTTTTTTCTTTTAAGATTTATTTGACAGAGAGAAAGCAGTTTCCCCCCTGAGCAAGGAGCCCAATGGGGGACTCGATTCCAGGACCCTGAGATCAGAACCTAAGCCAAAGGCAGATGCTTAACCGACTAGACTGAGCCACCCAGACATCCCAGCATAAAACTCTTGATTTCGACTCAGGGCTGTAAGGTCAAGCCCACATTGGGCTCCACACTGGGCAAGGGACCTGCTCTCTCCC